CAATAATGAAAGTCCATGTGAACCGAATAACGTACATCGTACTTAATGTCGAAACCTAAGACGCAGGGAAGTATACTAGAATATGAGCATTTGTTCATCAGCAGTACGACGGTCGGATTATCCACCTGCTGAACGTACATTCTAAGTAACCTGGGCAATGCCTCGTGACACACGTCGTTTGAGACGATCGTTCGCTTGCACAACAACTTCAGGGAAGGCATATCGTCGTACCATTCGTAGGAATATGTGAAATAACACTCCGAACCTTCGGTTGCAACCGCAATGCTTTTGTTTCCCTCACTTCCGTCGTTGTAATATTCGAAGGTACGATTCTTCAGTCGACCGAACGTTGGATTTTCGATTATTATTCCTTCGTCCTTTATTATTCCTTCGCCCTCGATGACACCGTAAAATCGAACATCCTGGCTGTTTCCTATTGTGAATCGATGAAATCCCTTCGCCAGAAAACCACGCATCACGAAGTAACCTTCGGAAATCTCGTCCCACTCGTGCATTCTATGGGCTACTTTTTTTGGCAATTTTTCTTTTCATCGACGTCTGCACCGGATGCATTCGACTGAACAATATATCTTATTCGTTGAAAATCGTCTCGTTAATGCCATCTCCTTGCAAAAAATCAGGTTTTTAGAGTTATGTTATTCCAACATTCGTTCAAATTTTCACGGGCGCCGACGCAAAAGTCGCGAGCCCGTGCGCACAGGGGATCGCCGCAGCGAAGAACGAACAACTTTGTTCGCAAACCTCCCAGATCCTTGCTGTGGAAGACCAACTCGTCCCTTCTCGTCGCTCGTTCCTCTTCGATGGACGTCGTCACAACTGTGGAACAGCAATCCGGTTTTCTTTTCTCCGACGCTGCAACCACCAGTCTGGTGTTTGGTATCACAACCTCGGATGCATCCGACGCTGCAACCGCCAGTCTGGTCGGCACTCCTTCGACGGCGAGTCTAACCTCCCGCAATCGATCGGAGGCGGCACGACCGCATGCGGAGGCGAGGACGCCGAGGACGCTGTCGTTCTCAGGTTTCGACGGGCACCTCTTTCGGAGGGCATCCAGCAGGGCGGTCGCGTCGACGAAGTCGTTGCGACACGCCGCGAACAAAGGGTGCTGCGAAGCTCCCTCGTGTCTGACGTAGTACGGCGCCGGC